GGTTTCTCTATAAATAAATTCTCAAGATAATAGGCAATAAAACTCAAAAACTCAAAAACTCATAAGAGCTTAAATTGCCCAAATTAGACCTTTACTATAGAGCATATTCAAACTGTTTTCATTGCACTATTCTTTTTTTTTTTTTTATCTATTGTTGTTTTCAAGATAATCGCAAAATATTAAAACTGAATCTCCCCGAACTGAACCTTTATCGAAAAATAAAAATATATTCAAGGCTTCACAATTTTAGAATGCTTAGAGGGACAAATATCTACAAAACGTTATTATTACTTGATTTAAGGTGTTAAAATTAAGAATAAGATACTCGAGTCTTTATCCAAAATCAATATGAAGCGTAGGGCTAACTATTTGGACATTGCTTTAGATCGTCTATTGCTCACCATTTCAACTGTTTACAATTTCTACACAAAACTATCATTTAAAGCCAACTACTCCTACAAAGATTCATCGCCAGAATAAATTTGGTGGAAATAGAATGTTCATGTAGGTATAGATCTTGACATTCTGGGCAATTTTTCAATGAAAAGTGGTTTTATAATACTATTTCCCGTTGATTCTTAATGGAAACTATGTGCCACTGTGACCAGTATCGGCAACCTATCAATAGTAAATGGCAATCATTGAGAGGGGTCTACTCATCATTAATCATATAGTTTCGAAACATATAGCTTTGCAGTTTCAGTGAAGAGGATTTTTAAAAAATTACCTGTCAAATTCAAAGATTGACTCTGGTGGAATTAATTTTTACCAATAGAAACTAAATGAAGGTCTTTTGTATAGGAATTTCAATACATTATTCTTGCAAAGATTTATTCTGGCTCAGTGGTTTCAGTGAAGAAGGTGAAAATGTGAAAGGCTACGGATGGCGTTTGCTTAATGACGAGGATAGCTAACATGGCCTAACAGGCCTGTATAACATTAACAGCTACTGTTGGGAAACTAGACTTTATTTAAAAAAAGATATTTTTAACATCCTCAATCCTCAAGCTTTAATAATTACGGAGCCTTGTTGGTCTTGAGATGTAAGGACGAGCGTTGTAGATGTAAAGGAAATTTATATCTACATCGCATGACATATCTACAGCGCTTGACTTTAAATCTATAGCGCTTGATTTCACTTCTGCAGCGCTTCACTTTAGGAAAAAAAACCCACACAACTCTCTATCTGTATTAGACCAACCGGCCTCAGTAAACAATACATTAATGCAGTTTTGTTTATGTTCATTTAGACATCAATCTGATTAACATACAGATCTTGTATGTCCAAGCTTTGCTTACAAGGATGTGAAAACGCTCCATTATATTTTCTGTTTTAAAGACCATTTGGGATTCTCTGGTTTTGTCGGATTGATACACACCTCCAAAAATTTAAAGGTTGAAATTCATTGGCTGATTTAATAATTATCAGAACAGAAAGTACAATTGAGTAGTGTCAGATCCTTCAAACCAACGCTTAGACACATGATATGATCTTATTCAGACTGAATTTTAAATGGAAACAAACTATTTTTTCGCTTCCCTTCTGCAGTCGTTTTCAAGAAATTTGGAATCAAACATTAAAAAAATGCCCCTCCAAGTTGAATGGTCGGTACCTCAGCCCTGTTTACAGTTCGATTTCCTGAATCTGGAGGTGTATATATATTAATGGCTTGACACGAAACCTTTAAAATATATATTGCGGGTTACTGTTTAGCTTTAGCATCGCCTTGGTGGTTTCGTGGTAGCGTGTTCGCCTCAAGTTCAGGAATATGACAGTTGTTATCCATTAGTTTGATGTGTTTGAACTTTTGATTTTGCCATTTGATTGGGGACTTTCCTTTTTGAATTTTCCTCGGAGTTCAGTATTTTTGTGATTTTACTTTTTATAGACCAATTTCTGTACTTCCTGTTTTATTAAAACTTTTAGAAAAGCATGTTTCAAAACATTTGTATGACTATCTTAAAAGATCAAATCTTTTACACCCAGCACAGTCTGTTTTTCTACAAGAAAACTCTTGCCAAACTGCCCTTATCAATATCATAGATAATTGGGTACAGGATATGAATGAAGGTAATATCAACTTAGCAGTCCTGTTGGATTTTAAGAAAGCTTTTGATATAGTAGATCATGATATTCTCTGTAAAAAACTTGAAATTTATGGATTTGATAATGCTGCTGTTTCTTTTTTTAAATCGTATTTGAATGAAAGAACAATTACAAATTGGTAATGTTCATTCCAAATAACTTTATATCAAGTATGGTGTCCCCCACGGCTCCATATTAGGGCCCCTTCTGTTTATAATATACATAAACGACCTTCCTATCTATATAAAAAATTATTGCACTGATTTATATGCTGATGATTCAACTTTACATCTTTCTGGTAATTGTTATCAAACTCTGCAGTCAAAGGTAAAAGAAGATTTACATGGTGTTGAGGAACGGTGTAATGATAATAATATGTTCAACAATAAAACTAAAACAAAATATATGATTATTGGAACAAAGCAAAAAGCAATGCCACATTACAATGAGAGTTGTTTAACTATTAACGATCAAGTGATACAATATTCCACATGCAAAAGTCTCTTATGCATTAAAATTGACCCTTCCCTCACATGGACAAATCAAATTGATGTGATCTGCTAAAAAATTTCATCTAGGCTATATCTGCTATTAAAGATCAAGAAATTTCTAAATCTAGACTGCAAAAAATTATTCTATAATGGTTATATCTTGCCACTAATTGATTATTGTTGTATAGTGTGGAGTAGTTGTAGCAGTGAGGGTTTAAATAGAATATTAAGATTACAAACGAAAGCTGCTAGATTAATACTAGAAACAGACCCTTTCGCTCCTTCCGAGCCATTAACCAAACACTTAAACTGGATGACAGTTGAACAGAGAATAAATTATCACAAGTTTGTGATGACATTGAAGTGCATCAAAAATGACGCACCGTCATATCTTACCAACATGTTTCATTATGTTTCAGACAGAAATCCATACCTCTTGAGAAATGCTATTCAAGGAAACCTCATACTCCCTAAACCAAAAACAGAATTGTTTAAAATATCTTTTATGTATTCTGGACCATTCTTGTGCAATAATTTGCCAATACTGTTAAGAAATATTACAAATGTTAATTTATTTTAAATACAAAATAACAGATCATTTATTGAAATCAACCTAGCTGTATAAAAAATATTGAAAACTGATTATGTCATCACGTTTATTTTTTCATAACATTTTAACAAGTTGTATTGCACATTATTATCATACTTGTCTTTTTATACTAATATATGCAATGTATATGTTTGCATTTTGTTTGTTTTTTTATGATGAGGGCCTCAGAGAAGATTAGTTATATAGCTAACTGTGTAACCCTCTTAAAATAAAGTATTGTTGTTGTTGTCGTTCATATAAGTATATTTGCACATCATATAAGTATATCTCCACATCATGTAAGGATATTTGCACATCATATAAGTATGTTTGCACATTATATAAGTATATTTGAACATCATATAAGGACTTATGCACAACATATCAGTATATTTGAACATCATATGAATATATTTGTACATCATGTAGGTATATTTGCACATCACATAAGGATGTTTGCACATCATATAAGAATATTTGCACATCGTAAAAGGATATTTGCACATCATATAAAGGTGTTTGCATATCATATAATGACAAGTGCAATCATATAAAGGTAAATGCAATCCTATAATGAAAATGGTCATAACAAAACAGTTTGGGCGTTCCATACAATTTGGTTTGAAGTTTATAAGACTTAAGACATGCTATGTTTATGCTTTTAACTCACGACTCTCTATTAGGTTTAAATGGTGTTAGGAATTAAGCTAAGGGCATTTGCAGATTTGCTTGGTTTACTGTTATTTAGTTAAACCAAACGTACACTGGAAAATAGATATGAAAAAGACAATGAATTGATGACAAATGGCATGATTTATACTTAAAATTGACCCAAATTCAATTAAAACAGAGAACAACGAATTGCACAATTCAACTTCACAATCAAGTTCTCTTTTTAACTTAACTAAAGACTGATTAAACCATTTATAATGTTTAACTGGAATCTTTTTATTTGTATTTGTTTGTTGAACTGTTTAACTGTTATCCCTGTTGTACTGTATTGGAAAAATGTTGATAATATTTTGCACAGATTTATATATATATCATAGTTAATTACTGACACTTTGAAATGGTCTGACAAGTCAGGTAAAACGTTATGTACCTATTGAAAATAATTTGTTTGCAGTAATCTTTCCAAAGATATAAAATTATCAACGGCACAACTATGTAGTCTTGTGATCTGGTCCAGAAAGTCATCAAGATTGTACAACCGTTTAGTATTATTAAACATGACTCTACTCAGAGGTCATTCATCTGATTACTTCGAAATGATACTATATTATCCATATGAATGAAACCAGGTTTTTTCAGATTGAAACAAAATTAGTAATGTACTGCTAAATACAAATAAAATTAAGATCTAGGTTTGATTTCCCTACAAGTTTAATGAAAGGCATCCACAGCAAATACATAAAACATATATCTCGGGGCTCCTTTGAAAAAAAGAAGAAAACTATACAGAAAAATTCAAGGATAATGTGGTTGATGTTTGAATCCTTGCATACTCCTAGATCAAAAGTTACGCATTAGCAGTTTGATTCAGCTTTCTCAGTGAGACACATTAAGTAATTCCGTTGGCATTCGTATTTTTTCGTACAATAAGTAAGATTTCATTTAATATCCATGATATATGTAAGTGATACATCCAAGATTGTCAGTCTTTTCAAATTGATGATTCATTTGTCTTTGAGACCGAATAAAATTCATCAACGTAAATAAATGAAAATGTATATCAAATAACCCCAAACTGTGACAATTTTAATATTTTTTCACATTTGACAATTTGAATTGGTTTTGATGCTTGCTACTTTATGGTTTCCATTTTATTTGTAAGCAAACCCCGTGGGTTGATTTTGATAGCGAAGATGAAGGCAAACTGGATTATGGGGAAAACAAAGCTATGATAGGCCAAAATGGTGCTCACGATGAAGACGAATTAATACGAGTTCATGAAGATCATGAGGTAAAATATATTTTTACCCCAATTAATTACATAAATAATCCATTTAGAAAAGATCATTTACAACCAGTATGGTTAAAGGTATACTAACAATGTAACATATTACTCATAAACCGATTACTTATTTCTTTACTGTATTCTATTTTATTAGAACACACATGCTTTTTGTTTTGTGTTTTGTTGTTTTTGTTTGTATCAATCAGTGTTGTTTTACTTAGTTTGTTCACGAAACATTTTTTTTCGTGACTGTAACATCAGTATACTAATGCTGTGTATGCATTCAGCAATTCAGCTATTTTAATATATTCATTGCAATTATAATTGTTGCGTGAGCACATTTTGCTTTCAAGTTTGTAAGACCTATCTTTCTGACGCATTCTATGTTAATGCTTTAAAATCATGTCTCTATAGGATGAAATAAATTTAATATGCCTGGTATCGTTACATCAGAATTTATTTTCTCGATACTTTTGCATCTTAAAGAAGAAAAAAATCTAACTTGTTTGTACCAAAGTTTTTACAGTGTGATCTGCACTTTTCTTATGAACGATTATTTTTTTCGGTGAGTAATTGATTTTTTTCTATTTAATGTCATTATGTTAAGTTTAATAGTTTTAACACAGATATTTCTACGGTTTGTCCATGCTGTCTTGAATTTTCTTTAGTGATTAACTTTTGTAATAATGACTAGGAATTAGGCGAAATGCATTTACAGATTTGTTTGGTTTACTGTTCTCTAGTGAAACCATACGTACACTGATAGATAGATAAGAAAAATGACAATGACTTGATGACAAATGGCATAGTTTATACTTTAAAATTCATTTGAAACAGACAACAACGAATTACACAATTCAACATCAAAATCAAGTTCTCTTTATAACTTAACTAAAAGACTGATCAAACCACGTATCATGTTTGACTGTAACCTTTTTATTTTCATTTGATTGTTTAACTTTTAACTTTTTTTCTATCGAAAAAATGTCTCAGCAATATTACTATAATGTTCTGAAACTTTTTACCAACAGGTCGGTGTTAAAGTGACTGTCATTCTCTAAATCGTTTACTCTTCGTAAAATACTATCGCTTTGAAAGGTTTTAATACAATATTCTGCCGAACTGTCATCCCTTTTGTACTGCATTGGAAAAATGTTGATAACATTTTATTCAGATTTATATATATCAAAGTTCGTCATTAACATTCATTGACACTTCGCAATGGTCTGACATGTCAGGTTAAACGTATGTACTTATTGAAAAGAATTTGTTAACAGTAATCGTTATGAAGTTATAAAATTATTAAGGACACTTCTATGTAGTCTTGTGATCTGGTCCAGAAAGTTATCATGATAGTACAACCGTTAAGTATTATCCAACCTGACTCTACACAGAGGTCATTTATCTGATTACTTCGAAATGATACTATATTATCCGAATGAAAGAAGCCGGGTATTTCCAGATTGTAACAAAATTAGCAATGTACAGCTAAATACAAATAAAATTAAGATCTAGGTTTGATTTCCCTACAAATGTAAACAAAATGCATCCACAACAAATACATAAAACATAAATCTCGGGACTTCATTGAAAAAAGAAGAAAACCTATACAGGCAAATCAAAGATAATGTTTAGATTGATGTTTAAATCCTTGCATTTTCCAAGAAATATTATAGTTTAAATACAAGTAAACATGTTGTAAGGACCCGAAAACGAGATCCAATCCCTTTTTTTCTTTTCTGTTCAATTTTTTAGACCAAATCTCACGCATTTAATAAAGGATGCAAGCTCACTCTTCATTTTTCGTTTGTTTCTTAAGACATGGTCCCACTTAACAATTCAAGGAACTGATACTTACCCGCTACTTTTTTTCAAGGAGAGGGGATGTACATTTATTGGTTCTCTGTGTAAAGAATATGACCAAACCAACCAAGCCAATCAACGATCAAGGCATGTAAAATTTGTCAAACTTGACAGTTTTTAATCAATCAAGCATAAATTTAGCAAACAAACATTCTTATCAACAATTAAAAGCAAGCAAACAACCAATCAATATGCAGTAGATGTCACTTGGTTGGTTGGTCCAACCACCAAAACCAGCCACCAGCCAATCATGTATGAACATTGGGAAAGACATCCACTAACAATTATTTGTTCAAACGATTGACCTTGTTTTTTGTTTTCTTCTTCCGCCATTTTTTCCCATCCGCAGTATTGTAGTTTAACCAAGACATTTTCTTAATCTTAAGCTTATTGCGCAGGTATTGTGCTTTTTAAATTGGTCCTGGTTGTCCGAATGCTTTATTTGTTAGAGTTATCTCTGCAAATATGTTTTTCTTGATTGCACATCTCAATCGTCACAAAAAAAATCCAAAACAAAAAACGATATTGTCAAAAGTATTTCGCTTAATTGTTCGTTAAATCATGGATGCTTCGATCAAACTTGATCAAGTGACATATTTAAAGCGTTATCCCTCCTTCCATATTTAAAAAAAAAACAAATCGCGTGTTCCATTACTCATTAACTGTTAACCGTAAAAACCCTAGGGACTTCAGATTCATGGGCGAAGACTAGAACACTTAGACCATGGTCCTCAATGTCATGTTCTTAATTTGACATAAATCTCATATTCCTTTGTCTCTGAACCTTTTTAACCCGACAAATATAATAACCAAAATGTTAGTCGCAACATGTCGTAAAAGAAAAGTATGTCGAAATGGGAAATGGTAACTTGTAAACTATAGGTGAAGTGATAAGGACAAAGGTTATACTGATTTGTGTGTATTTAATACACCAAAAGTAAAATGATTAAAGGTCATAGGTCAAGGTCATGTTCGAATTATTTACATTTGCTAGTTATCACTATGCCTAAGAAACCGTATACGATATCAAAACTATTAAATTGTAACCTGCATCATGTCTGAAGTGAAACATGTTGATCGAAACAGCACAGTGACACCAAATAGAAGTGTTTTCCTCTGGAATGATTCAAATTTGCTGTACGATGACTAACTAACTAACCACACATAATAAAGTCTTTTAATTTCAGGTTATTACTTTTTACCATGAAATTGAGGCCAAGGTCAAAAGTCAAATTGACGTTATCGATTTTGATCTTTCCGATAACTGCATACTGGTATATGAGAAAAATATGAAGTATTCTGAATTTGGAAAGAGCCATAGGACCTTTAAAAAAGTTTAACCAGAAGTGACCTTGTTTAAACCGGCAACATCCAATTTTTCGCATTAATTCTATGCAGAGTACCTGAAAGAATATATCTTTGATATCAATGTGAAGTAACCTTTCATGTGGACTCGGAAGTGACGATTTGTGAACCGGAAATAGCCTCATTTTGTCATGCAAAAGTACTTAGAAACCAAATTTTGGGGAGTTATTGGGTCTAACATATCGTTTAAAACAGGAATAATTAACCTAGTCCGTACGTTGCTAATTATCTCCCTTATTCCAATAAAAAACTACCTAAAGTTATGAATTTTTAAAAGTTTATTACAATAACAATCTTCCAATGATGGAACTGTCTTCTTAAACCGGAAAGTAATATTTTAACTAAATCTTCTTATCCAATGTAAATTTGGGTAAGGGGAAATACCTTCAATTGGTCTGTAAACAATTATATTTTAATTAGGTCTTTCAACTTTTCTGTGGAAAGACTATCAGAATTCGATCTGGTTATTATTTTTTCTTCGACCAAATGTGTTTCTTGCTCTCTGTGTTCGTTTCTAATGGTGTCGTTTAGATGTTTGGTATATGAAATCAAACATTTATAACATTTTAGAAACTGACATCGCTTACCCGAACGTCGAGTTTTGACACAAAGTAGGAAAGATAACATCCTTGACCTTTTTTGCAAAAACCAACCTGCATTAATAACCAAAATAAAATCGATACCAGGTAAATCTGATCATAGTATTGTATTGGTAGATGCAATCTGCAAGCCCCAAAGATCTAAACAATCGCAACATAAAATTTATTTATGGAAAAAAAGTTGATCTACAAAAAATAAAAGATGTAACATCTAAATTTATATCTGAACTCCTATCTCAGGTTAATGTTAATTTAACTGTTGATCAATTGTGGAATCAATTTAAAGAAGGTAGTAACAAAATAATAGATGATAATGTTCCAAGCAAAAGGACTAAATCTAAATACACGAACTCTTGGGCTAGTATGGATACAGATAATTTATGTAAAAAACAACGCTAAGCCTATAACAAAGCCAAAATAAAAAAAAAACAAAAAACTGGCAAACAAGATCACAAAGATAAACATAAAAAATATTAAAGTTACCGCACATAGGGAGATACGAAGGGCTCAAAGTACTGATATACAAGACACAATTAGCCTTAATGAACAATTTAAGAATGCTTTCACTACAGAAGCTACATCCTTCATGCCAAATAAAGGTATAAGTTCCCATCCCACCATGCTAGACATACATATTAACAATAACGGGTTATTAAAGTTACTTGAAAACTTATATCCCCATAAAGCCACTGGCCCTAATAATCTGCCAGCATATTTTTTACATAATTTTTCAGAAGAATTGTCTCCATTTTTTACATACTTTTTCCAAAAATCAATTGACTCTAATAAATTCCCAACTGATTGGAAGCAGGCTAATTTTGTGCCCATATTTTATATATTTTATATTTTATATATTAAAAAGGTGACAAGCATAACGCTATTTACTAAGCAACATCCGAAAACATCTTACAAATAATAATATAATAAATGACAGTCAACATGGGTTGAGGGGTAAAAGGTCTTGCGAGACCCAACTAATTATCAGTATCCAAGATCTTGCAAAGTCATGGGCAAATGACAATCAAAAAGATGTTATACTTTTTGATTTTTCTAAAGCATTTGATAAAGTCCCCCATCGAAGATTAGCTCAAAAATTAGATTTTTACGGTATTAGGAATCAACACTTAAATTGGATAACAGATTTTTTAGCTGACAGACAACAGCAGGTACTTTTAAATG